CACGACCATCCGCGCCCAGTGTTCCCTGCCGGACCTCAACCACGACCATCCGCGCCCAGTGTTCCCTGCCGGACCTCAACCACAGCACACAACCACAGTCACAAACACATAACCACAAACACAACCACAAACACGCCAAACACACAACCACAAACACACAATCACAAACACACAACCACAAACACACAACCACAAGCACAACCACAAATTCACAACCACAAACACACAACCACAAGCACAACCACAAGCACACAACCACCAACACACAACCACAACCACTCAACCACAAACACACAATCACAAACACACAACCACAAACACAACCACAAATTCACAACCACAAACACACAACCACAACCACAACACAGCACACAACCACAAACACACAACCACAAACGCACAACCACAAACACACAACCACAAACGCACAACCACAAACACAACCACAAACACGCAACCACAAACACAACGGCAAACACAACAACAAACACAACAACAACCACACAACCACAAACACAACAACAAACACACACAACCACAAACACAACCACAACTACAAACACACAATCACAAAGACACGACCACAAACACAACCACAACTACAATCACAAGCACACAACCACGAACAGAACCACAAACACAATCACAAACACACAGCCACAAACACAACCGCAAACACATCCACAACACACACAATCACAAACACACAGCCACGAACACACAATCACAAACACAACCACAACCACAACACAGCACACAACCACAACCACAACACACAACCCGAGGACCACAAACAAAACCGAGAACTACAATACTCACGACCATGGCAACATGCTCCTCACTATGGCATCAATACAAATGATTGAAATGTCATGGTGGGGTTCACTCGAAATAGAGTAATTTCGACTTTGGAGATATGAAATGTTTAGCTTGTGTTGAGACAGCACGCATCTCCTTCATTTCACTGTGCCTTTGTTCCTATTCTCAGGTCAAGCATTTTAGTAATGCACATTTGGTCCGTGGCCATTGGGTCAAGACTGCCACATGGGGCAGAAAGCTCAACCCCCCAGAAAACCCGAGGATACCGGACGCAATTACAATATAATACAAGATAATATAATATATTTAATATAAAAGTTTATGAGAGCTCCGAAGTCTACCAGGTTCACACGGCAGAATAGGCCAAAAAATACAGAATCAAAATTTTCATCGCAGACCCTCAAATGGAAAGGGGTTGGTTGGTGACCGATGGAACCCACGAACCCTTTTTTTTGGGACATCATGTCGGGTTTCTGGACTCCCGGACTCCCTTGGCGACACGGGTTGGGCTGTCCGGACGTCCCGGGACCTGAGAACGACGACCAGCTGGGCGGCCAGGGGTTGTCCGACTTGCGGTTCCTGAAAAGCTTGGTCAAGCTGTTGAGTGACCCCAACTGGCCGCGAGTGGTGCATTGATATCGCTCGTTCGTGCGACAAAGAAGTCTCAAATCTAAGAAACCAAACCAACTATTCCCCATTCGCAATGTTTGGTCCGCCGAATTTGGTACCTGCACGGTCATACCCCAGTGGGTCAACGCACCAGTTTAACCAGTTCTTTCGTAACGCACCAGTTTAGCCCGTCCTTTGGACTTGCTGGACACTGTTGATCAACAATATGGGGTCGGGTGCCAGTTCTCCTTGACTCGCTTCCAGTTCTGCCTGAATTGCTTTGGGGACACCCCACTGGTCCACCCGCAAGACTGTTCCGTCAATCTCCCAACAGGCGCCAGTGGATGGACCTGCCTCGAAGAACGATGAGGGTGGAGGTCGGATGATGAGGGTGGAGGTCTTCGTTTTTGTGTGGCGGGCTTGGAAGATTCCTGGAGAGGCTGAACAACCATTTTTTATCCTTTTTTGCCTATCCCATATAGGGTGCCATAAGGTCTCTCAACCGCTCTTGGGCCATCCTGGGAGCTGTTTCCCCCTTCACTGTCAACCGGTGCGCAGTACCAGCTGGATGTTGGGGCATAGACTTCGACCCTCCTTGAGCCGCCTGCTGTGCCCCAGCACTCCAAAAAGGATTGTCCATGCTTCCATGGGGAGCACACAAGCCCTCCGCCAAGTAGTGCAGTGGTGGAAGTAGGACCCTAGTACTCCACTGACCCCTAGTACTCCACTGGCCCGCCTTGGACATCCACCCTTTGGTCGTCGGAGGAGTGGAACAAGTAGCCCTGGCCCTTGGGTTGCACCGCCAAGAGCATGTTGAAGAACTCTGCTGAACCGCATCAAAACCCTGCAAAACTCGCACAAGCAAGTGTTTGGCTGTTGTAGCCTGTTTCATCGCAACGTGTTCATCACGACTTTCGGCAAACAAAGAAGTGAACAACGACCTAAAGGGTCCGTGCACAAATCTTTATGTGAGAAGAACTATTTCATTGAAATCATCCAAAAGCCTGTAAAGCGATATAGTTATAGTGAACCCCCAAAAGCGATGCCTTCACAAGCTACACTTCAATCACTTGGTTCAAATCTACTTTACAACCTTGTCAGACGAAAGCTCTCGAAATAATCCGTTTCTCGGCTTTGTTTTCGCTTGACATGAACTGAAAATTGATACCAAAGCGATACCCCTGGATAATCAAAATGTGGTCTAGATGAGCGGATCTCCTTTCGATCCCTTTTCGTATCGTTTTCGCGGTGCACAGATGAAGAGCTCTAGAACAAGAACCACAATAGAAGCGGAAAGGAAGCGCTGATGTGTCAATGGAAAGCTTTCTCTCCCTCTCTCTATGTGTCTCTCTCTCTTTTTTTCTCCCACTATCCATATCCATGTGCACTTTCACTTCGGTTATGTTTTCAACAGAAATCCTGCAGAAATATGACAAAGGCATCCGAAACACTGCAAAGCGATATAGCCACCCCCAAAAGCGATATGTGCCCATAGGTTTTGGCGATCGCTTGGTTCCATAAATGTCCCACTTAGTTGAATTCACAGTTTCAAGTCAGCATCTTTCTTTGGTTTGGGCTCAACACCATGAAATGCATTTGCTATGAATGAAGCCGCACTATGTCAAATCATAGGTGAGTTAAGGAATACACTGACACTTCTTAAGAAGGAACAACCTCTTGGAATCAGAGAAACATGAGGTTGGGTTAACACATGCCATGCATGAAAGGATAGCCATTTGTCAAGAATGGACTGATTGTACAAGAGAGGTTTTGTGCATATGTTTGTTACTATTGATTTAAGCACAGATGTGTGAGGAGAGGATAGCATATACAGTAAACGTATATAGAGTGTACTATATATAGTGTGTATATTGTTGGTTGGTTGGTCAGTGGGTTTTTCTCGCTTGGTTGGTGGTTTGGTCATGTTCCCGTCGTCCGGTCCCGGTCGGTCCCTGCTAGGTCCCGGTGTGGCGCTGCGAGCGGTGAACCCGGGCACGCTGGGACATCCGCATGTGTGCCGTCGTCGTTGCGTGCATCTCTCAAGGCGCCGGGTCTGTATGGGAGGAAGGGAGTGGAGAGTGGGGAGTGGAGTGGGCAGTCGTGGAGAGGGTTTGATGGGAGGAAGGAGGAAAGACGCGGCGTTTGACGCGAGGGTCTTGATTGGTGCCCGTGCTGGAACTCGAAGTGGGATGGACATGTGACAAGGGGTTGTTGAGAAAAGATCTCAACAATCCACCTTATTCACACACACGCACCTTTGGTCGAAAAGCACTCTCCCTTCTCAATGAGAAGCAATAGAACATGGGACTGCAGGACTTTCTGGACGAAACATGCACTTGAAGAAGTAATATGAATCGCCCTAGCTGTCTATGAGTGGACTATAGGATGATTCCTCCTTAAATGCGGGTTGTAGAGGTCTTCGGTTCCAATTGCTGAATGTTCTATCTACCTACAAAGATGACTTTGCTTTGGAACGACCTACCGGGAGTCCAGCCGCCCCTTCCGTTCTCGCGCTCCTTCCGTCTCGTGCCACGTACGCAGGGGAAATTGCAGGCAAGGTGCGAACTGTGACTCGATCGAGAATGGAGAAAATCGCTGGACATGTCCAAGAGCTTACAACAGAGGTTGAAACACCTGAACTAGGATCCGGTAGTGCAACCTCTCTTGTTTGGTGTTTCTGAAAGAGCTTCGTGTTCCGGACTTGTCGTCCAAACTCATGGACTCTCCGACGATGCCAAGGATGGGTGAAAATTGGTCGGTGGGTCAAAACGAAGATCGGCGCCTGCTGAGGTTTGAACATCGGTATTTCATCGTTTTGTTGGTTTAATCTCGGGTCGTTTTCGTTTTTGTTTGCTTTCCCAAAAGGACCAGCGAAGGGTTCTCCGCAATGAACGGCTACCGACTTCAACTGTCCAACCATCATCGTCATCATCATCATTATCATCACAGGTGCGCAGACGCAGGTGATGCACCTCATCTGACACACCTAAATAGATACAGGTGTTTGAGACAGGTGTAGATACAGCTGAGGGCACCTACAAAACTCACACAAAAACTACAACTTCGACATCTTCCTAATCTTCTCTTAAGGCGCCTGGGTAGATCATGCGTGCTGGATGTGCGAAACTCTGCAAATATCTAGAAGATCCGCAGAAACTCTTGTTTTTTTTTGAAAAGCGGCTCTTCCCGTCCTCAGGCGAATTTTTTCTGCGGAATTGAGTGCTTTTGCTGCTGCGAACTTTCCCTTTCAGGACTCTATAGAGACAATATATTATTCTAGAGGCTTTGAGTATTGGTTGTGGCTTACATTGGGCGGAAATCCTCTAAATCCGCGAATCCTTCGGACCGAGGCAGAAATTGTTGCCCCCGGCGCTTCTACTATGCAAATCGGTTTGGTCCTGGCACTACCCTTTGCGGAGATCGTGCGCGTCGAGTGCTCAAACGTGCGGCGAACTGCGAAATTAGAGTTGTCCTTGGTGAACCAACCCGTTGAGGAGGAGATTGTGCGTGCCGCGTTGTGTAATGACATGAGATGCGATTTTTGTCTGGCCGCGGTGAACCCTTTGCGGAGATCATGCGCGTCGAGCGCCCAAGTGAGGTGAAATGCAAATTGTGGTGTTCTTGATGAATCCTTCCTTCTCGGAGCTGGCAACTTTGTAATGGCGGAAAGCAGTATGGAGCTGTGGCCTCACAACTGCCAACTTTGTATTACAAATTGTAGTACGGGAAGCAGGTGGCATCAGAACTGACAACTTTGTAGTGCAAGTGTAGCACTGGAAGCAGTTTCTCAGCTGTTGCCTCAGAACTGGCAAGTTTGTGGTGCAATACAAATGTAGTGCGCGAAGCCTTCTGGAGCAATGACCTCACAACTTGGGATTTTGTGTAGGAAACATGCAATACGGGGCCCTGGGAGCTGTGGCCTCGGACGTACCAACTTTGTAGCAGCCGGAAGCAGCTTCTTGGAGCTGTGGCCTCAGAACTGCGGTGCAAATTAAATGTGGCACGGGTTCTGGGAGCAGTGGCCTCAAGTGGCAACGTTGAAGTACAAAGTAGTACTGAAATATACTAGAATCCTGGCAACTTTAAGTAGCGCAAAGTAGTGCTGGAAGCAGCTTCTAAAAACTATCCTCGGGACTCGTAACTTTGTGGTGCAAATGTTGTGCGGGCAGCAGCTTAAATGTACTCGGGGAAGCAGCTTGTGGATGTCACTGGGGAGCAGGATGATTGGCGGTGTCAGCAAGGCTTGGTGTTACATTGTTGTATCTAGTCAGTGGCGCACCGTAGGAAGTGACGTTTGTGATGTTGCCGTGGCATCCGGATCATCATCATCATCATCATCAGCATCATCATCATCTTGATCATCTTTACAATCCCCATCCTCATCGTTATCTTTTGTCATCTCCTGCTGTGCTTTCAGGCCACCCTGTCGTCTAGTTCAATGTGTTGATTGTTGTGTGTGTTCTGCCAAATGAGGTCCAGCGAAAACTGGCGCGCGTTTTGTTGTTCTATATCATTTATCTCCAAGTTGTTGCCGGCAATCTAAAATGTTGTGGTTAACCACATGTTTGCCATTTTGCATGACTCATTTAGTATAAGGAAACAAGAGTCTTGCATAAAATTTGTGTTGAAACCTAATAGGTTTGCTCGGCAAAATTATAGTTTTTGCCATTCTTACATGTTTGCGCAAACCTTTTGAGCGCTTAACCCATTTTACATTACTTTTCCGACGGCCATTTCCGTCACGGTCACTTTTTTGAAGTCGAGACTTTCAGACCCATTGTAGATCGCATTGGCGAGAAAAACATTTTTAGACTTAATGATTTGAAACGCAACCTATTATAACCCATGTTACATTGACCGTGTTGGATAAAATTAATGTGGTCGATGCAGCGGGGGGGCACCATTTATTTTCGGTAGCGGGTCCATTACCATCAAATTTTACTGCACCTCTATTCTCGGTAGCAGCGGGGACAATTTTATAGAATCACTAACCACAAAACACATCATAATTTGATGCCCTTCCAGTATATGTTCAGCCCACCGCACAAATCTTCAGCAGTTGTGCTGTGTATTCCAACATGCCACTCTAAGTGTTCTTGTTTATGAACCATTCCTTCAGACAAAAACCAAGTGAACAGTGTGATGGAAAAGCATTTCAGTCGAAGGTAGAATTGTAAGCCAGCGAGGTTTTTTCGCACCATCCGTTCGAAACTATCCTTAGAGTGTGAGTGTGGGGGTCCCGACCTTTTCAGGATCCACCAAAGCAGCCCATTAAAAAATAAACGTTGTTTCAGTGCCTGGGAAGCTGGACGAGCGCGGTGAACTGGGACTGTTTCCGTATTTTTGTCATTCGGCTCGGTGAGCCGTACAGGGCGAATTTGTGTAGGAAGGTGGTCGGCATTTTGTCGTCATTAGTTAAATATGATATATATATAAATATAATAGTGCTTGGATTCTGTTTCGATGTAGTTTCATATCATTTGGCTCACTCCACTACAGAAACATATAAACATGTCAATGGCCCAGAGGAGGAGGACACATTTGCCAGTTTCCATTCATCAACAAACATGGCTGATGTTCACCAACAAAAATGGGCCCAGTGCAGTGCACCACTTGTAGAGAGTGACCCAATTTCTGTTGGTTTGATGCAGTGAAACAACTTGTACACAGGAGAGAACTTCGCAAGTTGCAAAGTCCGAGTTTCAGTGGCCTCCTTGCCTGGCCAGCCAAGTGCTGGGGGTCACTGGTTGCCCATCCAAGGTGGCTACTGCCATTTGGACCACACGAGAGTCACGAAATTGGACAAGAAACATCGCGCCATGCTGGACGAGCTACCGAAGGCCGCTGCGCCGTGGGGTGTGGGACTGTGGTGAGTCGGTCTGTTTGCTTCAGAAATACCATTGCTTCGGTCTGTTTTCGTGGACCTCGAGCATGTGACAAGCCTCAGAGGTTCTTTCTGCTGAAACCTTGCAGATCAGCGGAGGGATGAGACATGAACCAAGCAGGCTGGATGTCGAGAACCATGGGGGGAAAAAGGAAGCCCAAAGAGAGCTGCACAGAAATGCGCCTGTTGCTGTGTGTTTGTGTGTCTTTTGTTCTGCTTTTATTTCCATAGCAAGTCGAAGTTTTTTGGAGCTTTGTGTCTTGTGTTCAATGTTTCTAACGACTCAACCAGCCGACATGTCGCAATCGGTCACACCCAGAGAACAGATCGAACAGTAGCGAGAAACCTGTTGTCCTACTCTCCTTGGTTTGCAAAGGGTCCACCAAAGGGAGAGGCCCCACATCCAGTCGCTTTGGGAAATTAGCACTCAGTTCGTCTGCGTTTGGGTCGACGGAGAGTGGGGGTTGTGATCTTTTACACTTAGACTTAGACCTTTGGAAACACTGGCACCAAGCATGCGAAACGGCACCAAGCGTGCGAAAGACGAGCCAAAAAGCACCGAGTACTACGGGCGCAACGAGCGGCGAGCCGCGCAACGTGCGACATGCACGAGCTGCGAGTACTGTGCGGGGGTTGGCAGGGGGTTCTGATGCTCACCGTCCTCCATTTCTTGCGGTTGAACGCTGAGGAGATGCTTGGACGGTCATATTCAGTGCGGGAATCGTGGTGGCCAAGGTGGAAGGAAATGCTCGGAGCAATTTTGGGAACGATGGCCCGTGGACTCACGTGGACTCCATAATTAGCCGCGGGAAGTTTTGTTTAATGTTTCAATTGTCATTCCGTCTTTGATGATTTTGATGCGAATCTACTGTTTCCCTAGTTGTTTTCCTATATTGAATAGGTGAAAAGAGGATCACCTTTTCCCGAACAGGTCAGGAACTTGGCTCCATGGTTCACTAGCACACAAAAAAAACGTCGACGGGCGCCGGGTTTCTTGATCGTCGATCCGGTCTGTCAGAGACGCTGGTACTCTACGAGCGTGATCTGAGTGATATAGGCAGACCTCCGGCGAAGAAGGAAGAACACATCCACCCGTGAGTCAACCAAACCCATGGAGCCACGGGCTCTCCCATCCCCATGCTGTGCTCATCCAACACGCAATCGCTTTCGCATTTGCGTGATTTTTTCGGTACAAATTCATGGCCTTGGCTTCTCAAACATTTGGCTAATTTGAGACGGTGGGCAGCTGGCATGTTGCAGCTCAGGTTTGGGAAGTCCATTTGTTCGAACTCTCCCGCCAAACCGGCTCTGAGCGTTTCGATTCGTCCGCTTGAGTGAAGGAACCAAGCGCCTAAGGGCCTAGGTGGTGGGATACTTGCAGGCTGACTACGGCATTGACCTGGTCTTTTAGAAAGGCGAAGCAAAAAGGCAATCATGGACCAGTTGCACTGTGTTTTTGAACATATCCCCAAGAATCTATACCATACCTAATATATATATATATATTAATTCCATTATATATATATATATGTCATATATATATATATATGAGTAATTGGCTCAAGCTGTTTAAGCCTCAAGCACGGTGGCTCTCGGCCTCCGTGCACCCTCACCTACCAGTTCACCACTTGCTTGAAGGGCTCTTTGGCCAGAACTTGACCGGTGAGGTGATCCCTATGGCTCCAAGAGGCGACAGCTACTGCAGGACCTACCAGGTTTGTGGAGGAGTGAGCTGTTTCAACTGGATATGGGCTGACAAGATCCGCGAGGGCTACGTGTGCCGGCGATGCGGAGAGAAGTGGGCGTGTCCTCCTCAGGGGTACTCCACAGCCCCACCGTCCAGATCGCCCAAAGGGTCAGGACGCCAACAGCTCCCGGTGAAGCCTCCTCCGGGTTTGGGCAACAAGCCCAACAAGCTGACGAAGATCCAGAAGGCCACCGCTGAAGCTTTAGCCCCGGCCTGGTCTTCTTTGGACCAGACCCTGCAACAACGCCTTCAGGATCTTGGCATTCAGCCACCGCCCCCTAGTCCGGGGCCGGACCTGAAAGATGTCCTGGTGGAGAACATGGCTCAGCTGCCGCCACAGGTCAGGGAGCTCGTTGAGAAACTCACCAAACCCTCACCGCCCACCGAGAAGGACATAGCTTCCAAACTCAAGACTCAGGTCTCTCTTTTGAAGGACTTGTCTCACAAGAAGACGCATTTGCAGCAGAAAATCGACCACACCAAACGGTCCTTTCAAGATCTTCTGGAGGAAATGAAGGCAATTCAAGGGCGCATTGAGGCCGAACAAAAGGCTCTGACAGCCACAAGTGCTTCCTACATGAGCATGGTCAATTCAGCCAAGGCTGACTTGGAAGTTTTGCCAGACTCGGATGTGGGTGACCCGGTACCTGCAGCCGTTGCTGGCTTTATCAACACCTTGGGTGTGAACTTGACTGAGGAGCAACAGAAACAGTTGCAGAGCATGTTGAAAAGGCCGCCCACTTCCTCAGAGGAAGAAGCCAAGCGACGCAAGACTGAGGTTACGGCTACACAGTCTTGCGGGTAACATTTCCATGGATCACGGCTTTGACCACTCTTTCCACTTGGGACGCAAGCCATGTTGTTTTCAACATGCCAGGGGATTCACTTTGGATTGTGGGGACTTGCACAATCTTCCTTCGTTGTTGGCTGCTTCAGGCTCAAGTGTGGCCTCTCCGCGGGGTTTGGAGGGCTATGGGCCGCAGCGACGTCGACCTTCTTTGAAAGTTTTTGGGGGCGGACCAACACCTTCCGCTTCGGAGTCCACAGGGTCAGGGGAGGCACTGAGCTCTTCTACCTCGGAGCGGCCTCTTCGGGGGACCGCTGAATTCAGGACCTTCCCGGGCTCTGCTTTGGCTCAGGTTTTGATGGAGGCCATGGAGGAGGATCAACCTTCGGACCTCACCCACGGGCAACTTTTCTTCTTTGATTTGTGTCAGAACGACCTCAATGCCTCCAGCAAGCAGTACAGGCTCACTGGGAGGCCGCATCATGGCCAGCAAGTCCTGGCCGATCTTCGACGTATGCAGAACATCATACATCGACACCTCCTCATCCAGGGGGACTACAAGCCACCTTTGGCCAATGTCTATGTCATCTCCCAAGTGTTAACCACCATCCTCCTAAATCCTGATGGCCAGAACCTTGGCTATGGCAACGCACCCTTCCGATGCTGGTGCTGGACTGGGGCCTTCGCTGAGGACTCAGCTAAGGCATGGGGCTACACCCAACATGCTGTTCGGCGCTGTCTCACGGAGTCTCAAGCCAGCTCGCTTGCTCAAGACCCTGATTTGGCTTCCCTTTGGGAGCGCTTCCACCGAGGCCAGCAAGCGGATGCAGCGGACTTCCTGGGGTTTTTGTGGGCCCACGCCGACTGCCCCTTCTTCGGGGGGCGTTTCTTCCATCGGAAGGCTCATGGCACTGTGGAGGTCAGAGAACAGTTTCCTTTGAATGTGATCTTTCCGGCTGGTGATCACCCTATGCTGCTGGATGAGCTTATTTCCAACTGGGCAGATGAGGACGGGGGACAGTTTCTCTACGGGGCCCCTGATGCCTTGGTCATCCAGCTCCAGAGGTTCCAGAAGCTCTCTGAAGGGTGGACCAAACATGACCGGCCCCTCGACTTTGGAACCGACATCAACATACCCTTCTCCGAAGATGGCCACCATGTCCATATGGCTGCCTACCGGATTGTTGCTCTGGTCACTCACCAAGGTTGTGATCATCACACTGGGCACTACCAATCCCTTTTGCTCATGGACAATGCTGTCTGGCTGGCTGACGATGGACAGTACCCGATCCCTTTACCGGAAATCTCACCCCAGCACCAGAGGGAAGTCCTACAGATCTGGCTCGTCAAAGAACCTCTGGACGAGCTCGTGGAGGACACTCAGGCGGCCCACGTCGAACCTCCTGTCAAGAAGGCACGGCATGGCCATGACTCCCTCACCATCATCTTTGCCAACATCACCAATTTCGGGGCCAAGGTCTAGGACTGGACGGGGACTCAGGGAGATGCTTTCCTCCTTCTTCATGAAACCCACATGGGTGAAGCGGCCACTTCTCGCGCTCTTCAATACTACACCAACAGAGGGTGGAAGGCGTATGGCTCGGCGGCCCACCCTACTGGGCACGGAGGCAGCTCTGGTGGGTTCTTGACGCTGCACTCCACCAAACACCTCACGCATCAAGCTGCGGAATTCCTACATGAAGGCAATGGCTGGACCGCGATCGGGTTGCAGAGGCAAGGCATGATGATTTTCCTCATCCAGATCTACCTCAAGACGGGAGAGACTTTACAGTCTCACAGCAACTCTCTCATCCTCAGCCACCTCATGGCCTTCTTGCACCACCTGCGAGCACCCTTTGTCATCGGAGGAGACTGGCAAAATGAGCCAGCCGCCCTTGCTGCCACGGTCATCCAAAGCAAGTTCAAGGCACACATCATGGACACTGGAGGCTGCACCACGTTGCATGGCAGTCAGATTGACTTCCTTTTGGTTTCCAACTCTTTGCACGGGGCTCTCCGACTGGAAGCATCCTGGGAGGTCCCCTGGAGGCGCGCAGGCTGTCCAGCAACTTCAGCGGTTTCCTCCTGTTGGGCGGACTTTTCAGTTGCCTCACCAGTGGACTAGCTTCCAGGAGGACAATGGGCCCTTCTACTTTTTGAACCACCTCATCACGGGTCTTGGCTCTGACCTGGCTCGATGGGCGACACAGACCGAGAAGTACATCACCCAGATGCTCCACAAGCCCACCCTGGGCCGGGGTTCCAACATCAGTCTGACACAAGCCCCTCTTGTTGACGCTTCCACTTCACGCAAATGGCTTCGGGGTTCGGTGGCCTTTTGGGAGAAGCTCAACGTCAGACTCAACGTTGTTCACCATTCTGGACACCGAGGGGTCATGCGTGATCTTCAGGCTATGTTGCAAGACGTCCCTCACTTTTGCTCTGAGGATTTCACTGCGGATGTCTTTGTCGCGCTCGTGGGGCAATGGCTTCAGCATCCCACCACGGATCCGGGGGACATCAGAGCTCAAATTCTGGAGCAGGAGCACCTGGCACAGAAGCAGGCCCTTCAATCCACCAGCATTGAGTTCCACGAATGGCTCAAGAAGGCCCACCATCACGGGCTACGGGGCTTGTTCCGCAGCGTCCGGCAAAGGGATCAGGCCTGGCAACGGCCCTTCCAAGACCTCCCTGCCTTGGAGCGAATCTCAGCTCGGGAGAAGCAGTGGGGAGACATTTGGCATCCCCTCACCGCCCAGGCCCACATCCCAGCAAGAGGCGCTCTCCTGGAAGCCGATTGACTCCTCGCTTCTTCAGAAGCTTTTGAGGCGCCTTCCCAACAAAGCAGCTGGACCTGACGGCATCGCCTATGACATGCTCCGACATTTGCCGTACCCAGCAGTGCACAGGCTGGCAGCTCTTCTTACCGAGATGGAAAGAGTGGCACTTCTGCCCACCCAGCTCACCTACACCAACATTGTCCTCATTCCCAAGTCCGCCAAGGTCGAGCGGCCTATAGCCTTGACCTCCTGCCTCTATCGCGTTTGGAACTCCTACCGGAAGCATGACATCCAGCGCTGGCAGATGACCTTGGACGATGAGCTTCCATGGGATCAAGCACGACCCAAGAGGGACTGCCTTTCCATTGCGGTTGGTCGTATGCTGAAGTCGGAGATCAAGAAGCACCAGGGCATCCACACGGTGACCTGTTTAGCTGACTTATCCTGCTTCTACGACACCGTCAACCTGGACCACATCATTGAGCCCGCGGCGGAGCTCAACTACCCGCCTGTCCATCTCAAGCTGGCTTTGGACCTTTATTCTGGGCCCCGCTTGCTTCAGGCTGAAGGCATAGCTGGTGATCCGCGGCACTACTCCCATGGCATTTTGCAAGGGTGCCCACAAGCTCCTGCCATCAGCAAACTCATCCTCTACAAGCCGCTCAAGGCCCTTCAGCACGCTCACCCGGCGGTTGCCCTTCAGACATGGGTGGATGACGTCTCCTTTGATGTCTCTGGCCATGACCCGGATTATGTGGCTCGGGAGGCCATCTTGGCCTACCGCACGCTCCGTGAGCTCCTCACGGAAGCAGGCCTGAAGGTCAACACGGACAAGACCGGCTTTCTGTCCAGCAGCAAGGAAACTGCACGGGCACTCAAGCTTCATCTCAAAGAAGACGATCCGCAACACCACAATGTTTTGCGGGATTTGGGAGTTGATGCTACAGCTGGCCGACACCGTCGTGTCACTCAAGTCAAGAAGAGGTTTCTCAAAGGAAGGGGACGAGCTGGCATACTGCAGAGGTTGAAGCTCCAGAGGAACATCAGTCATCGCATCCACAAGAGTGCAATCCATCCGGTCATGTCCTCGGGAGCCCAGGCGAATGGATTGGCCCCTCAGAGGCGGCAATACATCCGCGTCATGGCCGCCAGGAGTCTGCAACTTCAGCGCTCCGGATCGGTGGATGTGGTCTTTGACATGCACCCTAACCAACCTGATCCAGGCGACTCCATCATTCAGCAACATCTACATTCCGTCTGGAAGATCTATCACTCCTTTGATGAGAGCACGAGGCACCTTTTCTGGACCAGTTGGAATGTCGCCTTGGGAGCTTTGCAGAAGGTGAGATATCGGTGGCAAGTTGTTTCAGGTCCCCTCCAGGCTCTCCAAGCCTACCTCCTGGACTATGACTTCGACCTCTCGGCAGGCCCCACGTGGCGGCGCACCGGCTATGGGGGCCCTCAGTTTGGAGGAATGTTGGCCTGAGCTCCTCTACAAGCTGCAGACTGAGTTCCGATGGCAGCGACTCCTCCGCTTGACCAGGTACGAGGGCTGCCACGACCTGGAAAGACCGTTGGATTGGCAGGTCAGTTTGACTCTGCAGAAGATGTCGGAGAAGAATGGTCCCGCCCTCAGGGCTTTCCATCAAGGAACTCTCCATGGCCAACAAGGCAATTGCCCTCTGTGTGGTGACGACCTCACCTTCACCCACCTGTTGTGGCAGTGTCGCTTTTGGAAGGGCAAAGTCAAGGACATTCCTGAAGAGTGGAAGTCACGCCTGGCCGCTGGTACGGAACCCGAACTATGGCAACGAGGCATGGTGCAATCCATCTTTTACATTCAGGAAGGAGGCATGGGCACTTTTCAACATGAAGGGCACTGGACCCCCGAGGCTGCTTTCGACATTCCGGCTGGACATGCCATCTCTCTGGCGGTCGCCCCAACCTGCAAGGATGTCAGGCACAAGCGCTTTGTCTTCGCCCTTTGCATGCATCAGGTCTCAACCAAGCGACGGGTTGCAGCACTCAAAGGCATCTGCCCGGGTCAACCTACCAGAAGCAGGGCCCTCTTCTATGGCCTCAAGCACCTCGCTTTGCACAGCCAGGAGAAAGTCCATGTGGCCGTCTACGACCATGGAGTCTGGAAGCATTGGCAACCCACAGCAGCTTTTGAGCAGTTTCCTGACCTCTACCAAGGCCTGGACCCTGAGGACTTTGCCCAAGTTCGCCCACTCCTTTTCTCCAAGAAGGAGCAAGACACCAATGGGAATCGGAAGGCTTTCCAGGAAGATGCGGACCAGCTGGCCCGTACTTTCGCCAAGGCGTCACGCAATGAAGAGATCCTGGACCTTCAAAAGCACATAGACGAAGACACAAGAGATGTGCTCTGTGTTGCAGCCTCGAGGATGGCCATCCTTCTTCAGGACAAGTCACACTTCCTCCACCAGGCCAAGGCAGAAGCTTCCCCGCACAAAGTTCCTCTGGTTGAGCAAAAGCGGGCTCTTTTGAGGCAACTGGAAACCCGGCCTGACCAGGGCGGCCATTCCTGGCAAAGCTATCGTTCAGGAGTCCGTTGTGACCATTGCAAGCAACGGTTCCACGCCAAGAGCTTGGTGGCGGATCTTCGGGAGGCCCTGGACTCATCTTGTGCCATGGCGGCCCCTGCTTCTCAGCCGAAGAAAACTCGTTTTCAGGTCATTGAGGAGCTCATTGCTGCCCAATCTGGGGTGCAGCCAGGTGTACACCACTTGAAGCTTGACAAGGCTTACCTCCGCTGCACCGAGTGTGCTGGCTACATCTTGGCTCGCTGCAATGAAGAGATCTTCACCAACTTCGTGAGTGGCGCATGCATGGTGGGACCTCTTGACCCCTCGCTTTGGCGGGGTCATCCATCGCACACCATGAGCCGGAAGGGATCAGTGGCAAGATGCACCCGATGTGGTGGAAGCGGAAGGATCAAGACCACGGAAGTGGAGCTGAATGAGAAGCTCAGGAGACGGTGCGAGCACCTGGGGTCAAAGGACCTCAGGACCTGGTTCACATGACGCACGTTCTTGCCCGAAAAGAGGCGTACAAAAAAAATATATATATATATGAGTAATTACTGCAAAGCAAATAGTTATACAAACCACCATTCGGTGTGGTTTGACCTCCCCAGCTTCACAAGTGCGGGGGTCCAAGTCCTCAGCTTCTCCCGATGTTCGGTGCGCCGCGTCGAGGCATGACTTGCTCCCCTGGGCGAGGCCCTTGATTCAGATGTGTGAAGAGGACCGGTTGACAGGTCCGGACGATGGACGTGTTGTTTCTTTCCGTGGTAACGACCGAAGCTTAGCTAGTCTTTGAAGCTGCTGAGATCTTCTGAGTCATTGGAAGCGGCTGAGTCTACGTACCGACCAGGTCGGTCGGACAATCGCAAACGACATCCATGGTGGTTCGGACCGCTGTGACGCCATCAATCGGCATCCCCCCAGATCACTCGGCCAAACATCAACCCGTCGGCCAAGCATCAACCTTCTGGATGCTGTTTGGAGAGGTTCAAGCCACTTGTGACGACAACTCGAGTTGCAATTGTTTCTCATGATTTCGATTGAATGCCCTCTTTTTGAAGACCTGTGGCATGACATATAAATTCCACGCCAACTTCACAAACATGCAACAATCGCAAGGGTTCATGAAATTCTTGGTTGTTCAAACAACCCTGCGGAATTGTAAACGTCGAATCACCTGTACAAAAAGCCTGCATTTGCATCGTCATTGTGTTGCGACCCTTTCGAAGTAGTTCTTTTTTACATCATAACAACACTTGCACGTGTCGCATTTTGTGAAACAGATAATTCCTGGTTGTTTTCTATGAAACACGTGTTTTCAAGTATTGAAACATGCTAGGTAACATCAGTAACATCCTTTATGAACAATATGTGTTCAGCTCAGATTCATGTTTTTGTGATGTAACTTGTTGGAAACACAAAACACTTTGTATTGTTCAGGTGTCATGGTCCTACCTACAAACCAACTCAATGTTTTGCAAGTGTTTTTACCATCCCTCGCTTCAAGTCCTGATTTGCTCCAAGAAAGCAGTCGTACTTGCCTATCTATGCCCGAAAAGATCTGTGGACAGCACTCAGAGTTTGCCCTCTGGAGTACTGTGATTACCTACTATACATGCAGTCAATAGAACTCACCATACCAAATTTGTAAAGAACAAACCCAGAGCTGTTTCATCATCACTACTTCACAGGGCATTCGCAGGGCCTGTGCTAAAGCAGTCGTGACGGCTGCCCCCCAAAATGGGTGTGTCAATTATCATATTGCGCTGTATGACCGTAGTTGTCATCATGTTTGTTAATAGCACACATATGGAAACATGTTATATATTGCTATCATTGCTGAGCAAAGATGATATCGTGTATATATCGTGTATATTTGTGTGTACATATATATATATATATATTAACATATATCAACAATAATATGTATGTATATATATGTATATTATGGCCCTTTGCAATGCCCCAACAAACATCTTAGCTTGGTCCACAGTCGGTCCACTTGCAGGAGGCGGCAGCATTGGGCGGAACGCACAAGCGATATCAACGCTTGGACACTTTCTTGTCCAGGCAGGTTCCGGGCACCCCAGGAGTCCGGCGATCGATGATGGAGCGGTGATATGCGGTGATGAGAGGAGATGGGAGAAGGAATTTTCGAAGGCCGCCCTTCCACAAGATGCTAAGTTGGCCGTTTCCTTCAAAGTTTCAACACTTTTATATGTCCTGCCAATCGTCACGCCTTCTGGCCGCAACAGGATGTCCTTTGGCGCCATTTTGAGCCTCGCGAGCCACCGAATGAGCGACACCTTTCAACAGCGTGTGGCAGAGGCCGCGCGCTCCCCGTCGCGCTTCGGTGGGGACCGAGCGCCGCGGAGAGAAACAGCGGCGCGATTGGCGTGAGAGGACCTTGGTATTGGCGATTTGGAGCGGACCAAAGCAGCCTGGGGGTTGGACCTGGTGATCCTGGATGACCCCATTCAACTCAAAGCAGCATGTAGAAGCGTAGCATCCTATAGCATACTGTAGAAGCGTAGCGTCCCAACAAAATGCTCTGTCCCAGAGAACGGTTGTTGGGCTGTTTTGCGCCACAGTTGGAATCCAACTCGAGGTTTCACATCTCCCCACAGATGTATGGTTCTTGGGTGTTTTGATCCAACCTCTTTTCACCCAAACGACTGGCGCGGTGGGCGGTCCGCCAGGCCGAACAAGATATCCGCGAGGCCGAACGGAACGATGCACCGGTTCGGAACGATCCACCGGTTGTCGTGAGTGGACGAAGCATGGCAGCTGATTTGTGCTGCTGAAACCATATGATCTTCACATTGCAATCCTAGCCAAGTGGCCTCCACAGCTGACATGGTGCCTGGATTCTGTGGATGTCTTTGCGTATAAATATGACAAAAACAAATATATATCAAAAAGAGGGGGGCCCAGATACTGCAAGCAACACTGGTGCATTCGCCGGAGATTTGGTTTCGCGGGGGACACCCACAACTTTGTTCGGCATAGGTCCTTATGTGCAGTTTGCCCTAGAAGAAGATTGCAGGTGATTAGAAGGTCTATATGTTTTTTCTTATTGTCGGAAGGAGCTTTGTCAACACTCCAATTTGCCATGAAAATTCATTTCATCCATGGGGTGCATGAGTCACAGAGTCGGACAAATCTGGACAAATCAGGTGCCTGAGTTTGATCTCCAACAATTGTTCTTTGCAGCTTTATCCACCCTTTGAATCCATTTGAAACGTGGGGAATCCGTGGCATTTGACTTCAAGTCGAGCATGCTCTCCAAGTGAAGACAACGATGATTGGGCCTGCAGACTTTGCAGACCCAGACCTTGGGGGTCCCCCAAGCCCTGAAATGAAACGTCCTGGTTGACACCTTTGACTGGTGGATCACACAAGACTCTATTTGATTGGCAAGGCCACAGGCAGCTTGTTGGACCGGTCAACATCATTCCCGGCCCGAAGGCCCTGCCTCAAACACCTCTGGCAGAGGCTTTGGCAGCTGTTCCGGAGCAGGAGCGAATGTGCATGAGGTTGACGCGAACAGGGTCCGAGGAGAAAACAGCAGACATGGGGCCGATGTTTTGACAGAATTTTGTTTTGCAATGTACAGTCCAACAACCTTTACCACCTCTCGCGCCCGAAAGTCGCAGTGAAACGTGTCTGGCTGCATGACACACTGGTCACAACATAACAAAATGGCCACATAGATTCACATGGCATTAAAAGTCGCAGACTCAGACTGGAATCTCCCAAGATTCAGTACGGCCTGCACCTCTCGCAAGCCAATGTGCCACCAGCTGACTACCCTTCGGGATCAACAAAAAGGGGATTGCATCAATGCCTCCCTGCAGAAGGACACGTCCACATGTTCTCGGTCGACACCGTGGAATTACAATGGTTTTTTCCGATAAAAATGCGTCCACTGCCTGGGTCGACTGGAAAGACTTTGCATGACTTTCCGAATCAAATTGGTCAACTCTCGGAAAGTGAGGAGCTGAGCAAAAAGAGACAGGACCCTGTAGCCACAGGAGTGGAAGATAGCTGCCAGCTCGCAAAAAGAAAAGGACAACTCTTGCGATGTTTTCCACCGAAGCTCCCGCAAAAAAATGCAGATCGTAAACCAATCTTTCTCCGCTCCTCGCCACCCTTTTGGGCAAGGGTGATCATGAGGTATTTTTAGCTTCCACCTGAAAGAGGATGCTGGTGCATCCCGCAACCATTGTGGATAACGCAATCTGCACTCCACAGGAGTTAAAACAGCCGGCAACACTCGAACTTCAACTGGTGTCGACGGAGCTGGTTCCTTAGTGGGCAACAAACAATGAAGGCCAACCAGCCAAGTCTGATGGTCCAAGATCGCTTGCTTCAGTCCTTTCCGCATTGAAGGATCTATGGGGGTAATCTTGATGGCAGAGTCTTTGGCTGCGGCATCGACAAGCCTATATTGTGAGCAATGTGCTGTACAGTGGTGTCAAAGAGTGCTGCAAGTTCCTCCGTTAACAAGGCCAGTGGAACATGTTCAAGCTTATGTGTTGTTATCTACGGACCGCATATGTAGAATTTCTGCAAGGAAGCACCACCAGTGGTAACACTTCCACGTTGGATCGACTGGATGCCCTGGCGAAGACTGCTCGGAATGGTTGCTTTTGCTTCGTTTCTTTTGCTTCGTTTCGCTGGTGAAGTGACAGTATGTCTGCCATGGACTCTGTCAAGTGAAACAGCCTTAGATCAACACTGACACGACTGTGACCAACTCTCGCGTGTTGCGTTTGGGAGTCAGGGGACCGACCTAACTGGTTTTATGAGATGTTCAATTCGAGTTCTTCATCCGTTTACATTGTTCACATAGTTTAGATTCTTGAAAATAAACAAACACATATGAATCTGAAAAGGTTTGCAATCCAAATGGGGTGTGTGCATCAAGAGTCTCCATCACATCATGATATTACAATAATATATATATATAATATATATATATATCAGTATATCTCAGCATCTTCATTTCTTCGCACCAAGTGGCAAAAGTTCTTTCCCAGACCGACTCTCGATGATCTCTGCGGCGATCCCACATTCAGGAGTGAGGCAAACGCAGAGGCGGGAGGGCATGGATCGGAGGTCTGAGAACTGAAGACAAGCACCCAGGCGAACGGTTGCGTGTGTGGATATACATACAGTAAATTCATGTCCATATATCTGTGTATACTGTATGGTGCCCTCACAAAGAATCAACACGATGTTTCCATATAGAGTTTATTGGTATTCATTGGTATTCTACATACATAGATGTACAGGAACAAAAACCGCACAACATCTGTAAGTGGGCTCAGACTGGGCTGTGTAAAAGGTCCAGCGTCACCCTCCTGCCCTTAGAAGGCCAAGACTTGGACCAGGGGACTCCCAGAGGGTTCGGAGAATGCTGTCAAGCATGTGACAGGACATGAACATGGTGTCCAAGTCCCAGTGTGTCACTTCTTGCGTTTTCCGTTGTATTTTCAAGAAGATATAAAAGAACATCATGCTATTTTATGTGCAGTTTGTGTTTCCAGCCAGACATGAGTGTCTCCAGGTCGTGGTATCATAAAACTGGGTGCCACCTCTTTTTTGATTTGTCACAGAAACGCATTAACTTTAACAGATTCCAAAAGGGACACGTTGCCTTTCGGTGACTCTATCAAACAGACATGGACGCAAAGAATTGCCCTTGGAAGGTCATGTTCCTCCAGCATGGTGGAGGCAGCTTCCACCAAACCACCCGCCTTACAGTCTGTGACTCTAGAGGCCCCCAGGGCCTGACCGGGCCTTCACCCCTTTCGCGTTCGAACCGCGGCAGGACGCGCAGCCCGCATCTTCTGGTCGGGTGAGAATGGTTGAGCGGACGTCTTCTGGTCTCACAGGCACAGTCCTGAGTTTGGGTGAAGATTTGGGGTTTTGTGGCCAAGTTCATGAGTTGATGCCATAGAAGATGCTGAGTCTATTCACTGGTACTTCCAGTCTCCGGAACATCTCAACTAGGATCCGGTTCTTCGAGCCCCTGTCAGACCCGGATTCCCCGCTTCAGCCTGCCTTTTGACATCCGTTCGGACTTGTGGTGTTTTTCCATGTGCCTTCCATTCATCAAATCCTACAAAGTCCCAAAAGTTCGACCAAAAGAGGAGCTGATCCCCTGATCCCCTCGGCCTGATCCCAACCCGAAAACCAAGTCGGAACCACCGAGCCACCGAGCGGTCGCGTCTCGGATCCTGGGGTGGTGTAACCCCCCCTCTCAAGACACATGTCCCGGTGTTCGCATTGTTTTTTCTTCGGACATTGTAAGTGTCATCATGATGATGATGGATGTCCCCGCCCCCTTGATGATGGATGTTCATAGAGAAAAGAGATTTTAAAAGGGTATGCATCCTCAGGGCGGTTTCCCACCCTGCCTTTCCAAAATTATCCGAAACAAACTAGACGACGAGTGGCCCGAAAGCATTTTTCATCACGTAGGAAGTCAGAGTGTGAGTTATTTGTTAAGTGTTCAGTGTGAAGTGTTTAAGTCGAGTGAGTTGAGGTAGTGTGTGGGTCTCTGTGTGTGTATCTATGTCCGTGTGTATATGAGTCTCTGTATGTGTGTGTGTGTGTGTCCGAGTAAGTTGAGGCAGTGCGTGGGTCTCTGTGTGTGATGTGTGTGTATGAGTCCCTGTCTGTGTGCGTGTGTGTCCATGTCTGCTGCTGGTGAAGGTCTTCACTGTAGATATAGTGAACGAAGTAGCGCGCGGGCCTCCCAAACCCCCCACCGGCTGCCAAGCGGTGACAGCCCAGCTCATCGTCGTGAGCGTTTGAGCTGCTGGTCTGGTAAGGGGAGAAGCAGCGTGCACGCCTCCAGGAAATCTCACTGAACAAAACGAGCTGGAATGGAGGCAGGTACGCAACAAGTTTGTCGAAGCAGTGACCTGTCAGAGGAGACGCGCCCATCGATATACGATCAGAGGTAACGTTTCCCTCACTGCAGGACACAGCGTTTCTAGGATGTAGTTAACCAACCACTATTCTTGTCATTGACTAAATGACTGTCTCAAAGAAAAACGTGACAAAGTAGCATGAGGTGACACACAGCAGGCACTGCAGATGTTTAGCGTAGTCTCTCTGTTCGGCTCGCGACCAGTATTATGGTGAACGAAGTAGCGCGCAGGCCTCCCAAACCCCCCACCGGCGGCCAAGCGGTGACAGCCCAGCTCATGGTCGTGAGCATTTGAGCTGCTGGTAAGGGGAGAAGCAGCTTGCACGGCTGCAGGAAATCTCACTGAAAAACGTGAGCTGAATGAATATAGAAAATTGCTAAGGCAGCCACGCAAGAAGTTTCTCGAAGCAGTGACCTGTCAGAGGAGATGCGTCCATCGATATACGATCAGAGGTAACGTTTCCTGCACTGTATGACACAGCTTCTCTAGGATGTAGGTAACCAACCACAAGACGACGAGTGGCCCGAAAGCATTTTTCATCACGTAGGAAGTCAGAGTGTGAGTTATCTGTTAAGTGTTCAGTGTGAAGTGTTAAGTCGAGTGAGTTGAGGCAGTGTGTGGGTCTCTGTGTGTGTGTATCTATGTCTGTGTGTGTATGAGTCTCTGTCTGTGTGTGTTTGTCTCCGAGTAAGTTGAGGCAGTGCGGGTCTCTGTGTGTGTGTCAACCTTTTAAGAGAGCCGGGTGGTCGGGAGACATGACTCAGCTGCAGGGGCGCCAGAGCAGCTGCGAGAGATGACTCAGCCGCGAGAGATGACTCATCCGCGTACTAAAGTTGTACTGCAAAGTCACCAGTTCTCAGCTTCCAGCTCCACAGATTGCTCCGCGTACTAAAGTTGTACTACAAAGTCGCCAGCCAGTTCTCATCTTCCAGCTCCCCAGATACTCCGCGTACTAAAGTTGTACTACAAAGTCGCCAGTTCTCATCTTCCAGCTCCCCAGATACTCCGCGTACTAAAGTTGTACTACAAAGTCGCCAGTTCTCATCTTCCAGCTCTCCAGATACTCCGCGTACTAAAGTTGTACTACAAAGTCGCCAGTTCTCAGGTTCCAGCTCCACAGACTGCTCCACGTACTACAGTTGTACTACAAAGTCACCAGTTCTCATCTTCCAGCTCCCCATATACTCCGCGTACTAAAGTTGTACTACAACTTCGCCAGTTCTCATCTTCCAGCTCCCCAGATACTCCGCGCGCAAAAGTTGTACTACAAAGTCGCCAGTTCCCAGCTTCCAGCTCCACAGATTGCTCCGTGTACTAAAGTTGTACTAGAAAGTCGCCAGTTCTCATCTTCCAGCTCCCCAGCTACTCCTCGTACTCAAGTTGTACTACAAAGTCGCGAGTTCTCAGCTACTACCCACTCATCAGTTCTCATCTTCCCACTCCCCAGCTACTCTGCGTACTAAAGTTGTATTACCAAGTCGCCACTTCTCATCTTCCAGCTCCACAGCTACTCCGCGTACTAAAGTTGTACTACGCAGTCGCCAGTTCTCAGCTTCCAGCTCCACAGATTGCTCCGCGTACTAAAGTTGTACTACAACTACAAAGTCACCAGTTCTCAGCTTCCAGCTCCCCACCTACTCCGCGTACTACAGTTGTACTACAAAGTCGCCAGTGCTCATCTCCCAGCTCCCCAGATACTCCACGCCCTCAAGTTGTACTACCCACTCGCCAGTTCTCATCTTCCCGCTCCCCAGCTACTCCGCGTACTACTCTCGCACTACCACGTCGCCAGTTCTCAGCTTCCAGCTCCCCAGCTACTCTGCGTACTAGAGTTGCGTATCAAATCGCACTCTCGCCTGCGTTTCGCGCACTCGACACGCACGATCTCCGCAGAGGGTTGCGCGCGGACCGGACAAATCGCACTCTCGTCTGCATTTCGCGCCCTCGACACGCACGATCTCCGCAGAGGGTTGCGCGGGCAGCCGGCAAATCGCACTCTCGCCTGCATTTCGCGCACTCGACACGCACGATCTCCGCAGAGGGTTGCGCGGGCACCGGACAAATCGCACTCTCGCCTGCATTTCGGGCACTCGACACGCACGATCTCCGCAGAGGGTTGCGCGCGCACCGGACAAATCGCACTCTCGCCTGCATTTCGCGCACTCAACGCGCACGATCTCCGCAGAGGGTTGCATTTTCGGTTGACGCTGTTCGTCCCACCCTCCGCCTTTAAGGGAGAATTTATATAGTGGGGAAATGTTTTTCATTAGGACATCTCCCGTGCAAGTTTTCCATACATGCATACTCATTGCATACTCATTACACTTGCATACTTTTGCACTTGGATACTTGCCGTTGGATGCTTTCACTCTTCCACTTACACTGGGGAACGTATAGAAGTGTGTTCATGTTCAAGTGTAAGTGTGAAAGCGTAAGTGTTCAAGTGTAGGCGTCGAAATGTCAGTGTTCAAGTGCAAGTGTGGAAGTGTCAGTGTGTAAGTGTAAGTGTCGAAGTGTCAGTGTTCAAGGGATTTTCCGGAAGAACCCTTCGCAATGCTTTCGGGAAAAATGCGTGAATTATTTCCCAAGAAATCGACCCCATGATGACCCCATGGGTTCATACAATTTATACTAGGGCTGCTGGAGTTTTCTGGGGTGGGCTGTGGCATTGCAGACGCCGCTCCAGAATACAAAACAACCAGCAGATGCGCGTATTCTTCATGTTTCTCCCATAATCTTTGCCAATAACACGCTTATATGTGATAATATGATTTTTTGATTTCTTCCACCCCATTCCATATATTTCCCTTGAGCATCCTTGAGCAAAGTTCCTTCCTGACAGGGGTTCCCACCCCCTGCTCGCATACAGTTCCTTGATAAAACAGCAAATATGGGGTCCGGCCAAAAGTCTATGATCAACAAACATTAGACAAAGGGGTCGAATGTCGTTTATGATGGTGTATTTTCAATTAGACTATGTAGCGGCCCCCAGCTAAACACACCTACTCTGCAGCTGGGCGCTAGGTTTGCGGTAGACTTGCGCTAGTGTTTGACTTAGGACATGTTCAGAATGTCGTCAGGTTTTGAACAGTAACGTGGCTGGCTAAAAAATGCGCTAGCACTGCGCTAGATCCGCGCTAGCAAACATTGCCAGATTCCAGCTTGGACCCGTCCATGGCTGACTTGCAACACGTCTTTTGTTTCAAGCATTACTACTTGAAAAGGCACAGAGTTCAGACAGCAATGGTTCAACTTTCTCGGGGAGCAGCTGAAGCCGGTGCAGCGCTAGTGACACCTCACAATTTGGTGCCAACACTTGTTTGGTCAATGTTTCCTTCATTAACCAGCTGTGTGTGCCAAAAGTAAAGAATATGGAGCGGGCCCCCATGTGAATACGACATTCAGCCATTTTTTTTGGAAGACCTTTTGACCAGATCCCATATATGTTTCCTTGAGGGGGGTGCCTCCCCGGCATACATTTGTTCAAGAAAAGTAGAATGTATGAATGCACTGGGGCCCATACCCCCACGAACACGAACAAAAGACATTAAATTGGTGGCTCAGCTCTTAACTGGGGCACTTCGTGAGTGTCTTTAAATAGACAAGGGGTTGTGCTTGTTCGGAGTGACCTGGTGTGCATACATTTGGCCTAGCTTCTGGACCTGTCTCCGCCCTGGTTCATACATTTTGGAGATTTTGTTGACCCTGACCCCCCTTCATTTCATTCAATTGCAAGAAATGTTGAGTCTGCCCCCCCCCCCGGTGCATACATTTAGGGCTTGAGCCACCTGCATACATATGGAGCCCACCCAAAAGTCTATACTCAAAAAAATAGATAAAGGTGTCGAAAGTAGCTTATGAAGTTGTTTTTCAGTTAGATTATGTAGCAGGCTCCCAGCTAAACACACCTATTCTGCAGCTGGGCGCTAGGTTTGCGGTAGACTTGCGCTAGTGTTTGTCTTAGGACATGTTCAGAACGTCGTCAGGTTTTTGAAAAGTGGCTGGCTGAAAAATGCGCTAGCCGCGCGCTAGCACTGCGCTAGATCCGCGTTAGCAAACATTGCCAGATTCCAGCGTGGTTCCTTCATTAACCAGCTGTGTGTGCCAAAAGTAAAGAATATGGAGCGGGCCCCCATGTGAACACGACATTCAGCCATTTATGGAAGACATTTCGACCAGATCCCATAAGCCTAAAACGGTGTTTCCAAAAACATTGAGAGAACAAAAAACATGTAGATGCTGTATTGGAGTCCATTTTTTCTATGTAGACTTTGTTCAACCCCCCACTTATCGAACATGGTTTTTCAACACCCGCCCCCCCCATTTTCAGCAGAAATGTATGAAACCACCCGCCCTCCCCTTTGTGGAGATGGACCAGGTTGAATGTATGAAACCACTAGTCAGCTAATCCGCTAATGTGACCGCGAGTCAGGTGTGGTGAAGCAGTGAACAAATCCTTTAGGCATGGCAGGTTGCCTCATTTAAGCCTTTTGCTTTGATAGGAAAGGGCCATATTTTGGTGGATTGTTGGTCCAAACTAACTGGGCCTTATTTAGGCTTTGAGGGTCACCGATATAGGCATGGGTGCCAGGTAGGCAATACCTCATCGAAAAGGACTCATGTGAGAAAACGCCGTCGGGTGGCAGACGATGAAAGGCGATTCATCATGTTACCATATATAAATACTGTGTTGTTGTTCCATGTTAATGTTACCAAAGGGACATGCTGCCGGGGATGTCAACTAATGATTTGGGCACTTGAAGTGACACTGTGATGTTGAAATAACAATAACAATAGGACCCATTGGTGGAATGGGGCAAAACCCCTCCAACAGATCTCCATCCATCACCCACGGGGGATTTCTACCCCCATGCCACAGGTCGTTCACGCTCCTGCGGACACATTCGACGTCACCCACCAAAAGAGAGAATCGGTGCAAGCTCAGAAGAGGTGCATTTCATTGTCCCATGAAGTCTCTAAGCAGAAGAGAAATAGATATCACGTGATATCACCATCCTACTTGATGCATTGAATTAATTTTGTAAAGAAAGTCCTTGTTGATGATATTAAGGAAGAGTAAAATACTGTTTGACTTCATGGCACCAGGCAGTGGTTATAGAATCTTGGGCCTGTCCCGTCGACTGCTTGAGTGAGCGCACGTCGAGCGCGCTCCTGAAGAGCCCCGGACGTGGTTTATCACAGACGGTCCCGGACTGGCTGCACAAACGCGGCACAGACTCGATGTTCAGTGTGTTTCAACATGTTTCAAGGGTTTTTGGAAGATCTCTTCTCGTTAGTGCGGTCACTTGACCGGTCCCCCCGAAAAGGCATTCGCTTCTTGAGCGCTATGTGTTTCTTTATGTTTCTTGAGGTCTCCAAGATCCACCGCAGATGGGTACCCATTTTGCCGTATTTGTCAGTATTTGTGCTATTTACCTATAGTGACTGAACCAATTGGTCCACTACTACTTTTTATAAGTGAGGCTGAAACATGTCCAAGGTACATTGTTCGCCTACAAGGAGAAGGCATGTTTCAAGGTCCGAGAAAAGGTTGCAGGAGCCTTTTGCGGCCAACCACGTAGCCAGCATGGTCACTTCAGCATGGCCAGCTGCAAGCCAACTGGTCCTAGACGAGGCCAAAACCACAGGTTTGTCTCAAAGATGATCCTTTTGGTATCCATTGTCCAACACTCACGCTGTCATGGCTGCTGAGAGGCATGCCGCACCCGCAGCCATATTCCGTATTTGCAGGGAAGCAAACTATACAATGAGACTCAAGATTTAAAGGACACATGTCCATGAATCAGCATCCATGGTGCCGTTATAGAATGTATTGTCCAAGCAACGACAGCAAGCATCATCAAGAGTTTGTTTAAGCTGAAAGGGTCAACATACACATGCAGGTGAAACGGTGACATACGGTGACAGCGTGCGAGTGATCAGCAAGAAAAATCTCAAAAGGAGAAGCAGCTGTACCTGCTTAAAAGCCAGTGGATGTAGCATTCAAAGCCCCAAAGGTATCATCCGAAACAGCCCCATGTTCATGGTCTACGCTGGTGTTTGGTTTTTCATTAAGCCACGCGAAGAGCTTGGAGCCCCTGAAAACAATTGAATACCATTTCGAGTATGAAATGTTTGGATTGATGGCCCATCCTAAATCAGAGTTCGTTTGCATGGCTGAGTCTGTTGGTCCAGTGCTCTTCATTGGTTCAGTGGTTCGCCGGATTTGGTCGATGACGTTTGGCTGAAGCGTGCCTTTGTGCCGTGTAGGTCGATGACGTGTGGCTGAAGCGTGCCTTTGTGCCGTGTAACAGCGCAGCAGAGTGGAGAGAAGCGAAAATAGCTATTCCACGAAAGATGCAGAATCTCATAGTATGCAGAGAAAGAATCTCAAACAAGAAACCTACATAACAGTGCCTCCAATCACCTTCTGAGAAGGTACGACTGGATCCCTAGGGAATAGAAAGGTCTTGGAAAACTGCGGTTGTGACTTGATGTTCTTCTTCCAAGCCCCTCTTTGCTGTGCCCCAGCCATAGCCGAAGCCAGCGTCCAATGTACCTGGAAACAAAAATGTGACCTCGAATTCAACGAGTCGCAAGTGGGGGAAGGTGTGATATGTGTTCATGCTGCGGCGGAAGGAGTGCATGTTTGGAGTTCCATCCCACCACTTGCCAGCCTATTTGGGTGCAATATGCCTGGTTTGACCTTACTTAACCTTGGAAATAAACTTCAAGTACTCACTTGTAGAGTCAGAAAGGTGTGTGTTTGAAGTATGTTTACTTTTTCCTCCATTACTTTCTCCTCACAGCACCCATTGTATCACACCAAATGCCGTGACAGGTTAGCGGAAAATTGGAGTCCCCAGCGCATGATGCACCTTGTTCGCCTGCTCATGTGACTGACGAGCCTCGACGTCAGCCAGCTGGAGCAGGAAAAATGGCACGTTGAACATGTTTGTTACGCAGGCAGTCGATTTCAATATACCTATGAATATCTGTCAGCATACAGGGCCTAGGGGATGGAAGAGTGGGAACCACACCAGGATATAAAGCAGAAAATATTCTTTGCTTCTATCTGGGGATGTGTCATACTTAACAGGAAACGGAATATGTCTATTATACACACTCGACTTGGACATATGTAACTATTCGAACGAGTTTGCATTCGGGTTCGTGGGCTCCATCTTGTCTTTTCTGCAAAGTCCACTCCAATGTTTGTATCTACACCACACAGAAAAGTGCCTTTTGCAGTATAACCCCCGAATGCACTGTTTTGGGAGGCTCTATGCATTCACTTTTCCAGCCGATTTTGTCGGATTTGGAGTCCATACGCATGAAAAGCGTGTTTTTGAGGCCTGCGCCTGCCACCGTCACATACACCCTGGGCAAACTGTGATAGCTTCGACGATCGTTTCCCATCTTTTCCCGAGCTCCAGGGTTGGCCTGTGCATGCTGCATGCCTATAACTTTTGTGGTCCTGTCTTAATTGAACATTTGGCTGTATGTTGTGCGGTTGGTCAGTGTCACTCAACCATTCCACGGATGGTGTGGCGACAGAATCGACGACGGTTGATTGAGCTTGTGTGTTTGGGCAACCCTCAGAACCTCTCTTCAATTGGTTGAAATGAGAAACAAGTGGACAAAGGTGGACATGAATCTCATGTTCAGCCACCTCCACCAGTGACTGGCTTCCCTGTAAGTTTAGTCCTGGACCTTGCAACTACCAAAACAATTATGGTTGTTTTGGTTTTAGGGTCGTTTTGGTCGTTTTGTTTGTTTTGCGTTATTTTGCGGATTTTTGTGGTCGTTTGCTGGTTTTTGCGTACGTTTTGCGCTAATTTGCGGTCGTTTTTGTCGGTTGCGCTGATTTGCGGGCGTTTGCGCGGAAAACCGGTCAATAACCAAAACTACAAAACGACGATTTTTTTGTCGTTGGAAGATCCAGGGTCGTTGTTTGTTTAATCCGTCCTCATGTTAATTCGGCAAGTGTTCCTTTATGAATCTCAAAATTCCATGCCAAACCGGATCTCATCAACATCAACTGTCGGGCCACCAAAAACCACCAAAGACCAGAAACAAATTAGGCTACAATTTTGGGGTGTTCTCTTGACTTCAGCTACCCATGTGGAATTTTGAGCATTGTTGGAACTGTCACAGATCCTTTTTTCCAACAAGTGATCGAACATGTCAAGAGCCGAAAACAGATGACCCAAACTGCTGCCCATCCCCAAAAAAGCAATCATTCATGCGCGCACTTCCTGAAACACTTCATTCTGTTCATTCATTTGAGCGTCCTTCCTGCGCTCCACTGCTCCAGCTGAGAGCCGCCCACACCTCCCCAATCGCGCGGACTCACCCCGACTTTTTTGCCAATGCGCTCAAGAGTTCGGAAGACTCAGGAGAGGAAACAAGGTTCCCCTGAGGATCGGACCATCTGACGCGCATCGTCGACCAGACCACCTCCACGGTTCCCCGCGACGGCGACAGACCTGGTGAAGATCGGACCAAAGGGATGAATCAAGGGAAGATGCCAGTATCTAGTCGTATACAAGCGGTATTTTTAGTATCATTTAGGCCAAAAGGTATAGGGTACCTGGTTGTACCTGGTGGTACCTGGCACTGACACCGGCCATGATCACCAAAACGGGCACCACTGGTGAACATCGCATGTCGACAACAAGTGTGATTCATAAACTTGCTTGATCCAGGAATATCCTTTCAGAAGGGGAAAGGCAAAGGGAAGGGGGTGGGTGACTTCAGGGCTTGAGGGTAGTATCAGAAGAAGGTAGTTTAATTCAGTTAAGGTCAGCACACCATTTTGCTGTGCCAACATGTAGAACCCGGTTCTTTCCATTCTACTGTAGACGTTTCAGCTTTTGGTGACCACCGGAAGTCGTCTCTCCCCGGTCTGCCCCCATGCTGCACGTGGTGTGACCTTTTCAGGGCAAAGAGGCGAAGAGAGCATGTCAATTGTGTTGCTCAAAGACTCCATTGTGTTGCTTCATATTCCATGTCTCCGAGGGGAGAGGAGGGGTCTCTGGGTTGATTTCTACGCACCTCGACTGGTCCAATGAAAGATCCCTCGGTTAGCACGTGGAAGCAGTTCTCGGTTTGCAAAAAGAAAGCCGCAGAGAAAGCAACGGCGACGCATTGGAGTGGATGTTACAATTGGACACTATATATATATATTTTTTAAAGAACGATAAAAGAACGATATATGAAATAGTTCACCACCCTCAGACACAGTTCACCATTCATGTTTGAACGAGATATTATGACACGACACATTCTGAGGGCATCGTTCACCATCCTCAGACACATGCCGGTGATGCCCAACTCCATTGGGCTCAGAGGTCGGTGGTTTGGCTTGGAGGGTGGCTTGAACGGTCTCCAGGTGCGGCTGGTGGCTTCGAAGGTCGGACCCAGAGGACAGAACGACCTGCTTCGTTGGCTTTTGAGGGGCACCAACTGGAGGTTCCCACCGGCCCATGTCGCGGGCGGAGCGGTGCTGCTTTTGCGCTTCTGGGGCGGCTTCCGAAGAACACAAAATATCTGGGCCCCTTGGGAGGAGCTGGGAGATTGAGCTCCAATCCACCTGGCAAATTGGGTTGGGGTCTTTGTTCATTCGTGAATTGCGCTACTGGGATTCCTGGACTGGTAAAATTCTAAGTAGCCCTCACATTTGGTGAATGGAACATGGATGAGAATGACGTTGTTCTCCTTCTTCTTCGGCTTCAACTCGAGAACAGCACGCTAGAGGATAGACTTTTTCAGATCAAAAGGCTGGAGGAATGCGAAATCAACCGGTGAACCGGATGCGACTCTTGCGGACGGCAGGTTCCGACGCCGGACATTTGCATGATACTGACTTGAGGAAGAATACACCAGCTTGAAGTAATCATGGAAGAGGATGGCATGGCCCCATGAGGCAGACCATGTTCCAAAGACCAATTAGCTGGCCTTCCACTAGGAGTCCATTGTGTTTATCT